TCTAGATCATTTTTCTTTCATCCAGCTAAAAATTGTTCATTCATATGCACGCGACCCTTTGAAAATTTGAAAGCTAGAATTCGCAAGAGTATCAAAAACATGGTCTGGAATGCTCTCAAGCTAAATCTAGCTAGCCAAGTTCCAGTCATAGATAAATGTTTTCGGACAAATTTGCACTTTTAGCACTTTTGCGCATAAGGCCAAGACGCGCATACAACTTCACCTGCCAAAACTTGATGGGACCTCCCTTTTCCTTCGATTATTTCTTTCTTTTATTTTAGTTCCTTTCATCACAAGTTGACTCCATGTTTCTTTGTGAAATTTTCCTTATTAGTTTTCATCGGACCGAATAAACACGCTCAAACCTCCTGAGGTTCGTTCCAATTTTCATGTCTTATTAAACCCTCGAAATTACTTTACAAATTCAAGTAGAACCACTGGCTGCAGGCGAGCAGTCTCACTGCAAATTTTGAACATTTTATGATATCAATTCTTTGGCGGGTAGGAGTCTAGACCATGAAAAATGTGGTCAAATTGTTTTCGAGTTTGTTCTCGGATAGGAGGCAGCCTGTGTAAGCTAAACATGAAATATCACAGGATACAGTTTGTCACGGTTTCGAAAACTTACTATTAATTTTATGGTTTAAAATATTTTTTTAAATATCTTTTCTATAAAAAATATATTAATTACATGTCTGACGGGTTTTGCCCGTGTTATCGCTACAGTTTCTACATGTCCCGGCCATGTCTCATGTTCCAAAACAATTGCCTTGCGTTACGTTACAGGTTCACTGGAGTCACGATCACAGCATTTGACCAATAGGTGCACAAGAGTTTAGTTTAACAATGACTTAAAAGTCATTGTAAAACTAAATTTGATATGAATTTTTTCAGTGAAAGCATGTGATTCTTCAATAACTTGACAGGTCTTAACAGCCCAATGAAGAAGTTATGAAATGCCGGGGCTGATTCATAACAAAACATTTTCCAAGATTCCCATTCCTATTGCAAAGAGTACTGTTTGAAGTTAAAGGATTTTGTTAGTTAAAAATATCCGTTAACAAATCTTCATTGCCAGAAAATGACTTTTTCAGACATATATAATATTTGATATATCAATGGGAACTTGACTAACCAAATATTACTGTTTGACCTCGCAACTAAATATAAAACTGGACAAAGGCGTAAGTGTATGTCTGCTTGGTTAATTATGCCATACTTGTGTTTCATCTTCTGTGGTTTCGCAATTTCGGGCATGCTGGGGCCCGTTTCTAGAAGGTCCCGAAACGTTTTCACAACCGGAAAACCGTAGCAAAATCTCAAACCTTATGATTACAGAGTTGTTTTATTCACATATTCTTAATATGAACAGAGGTTCTCTTCATATAAGAAGTTTCAAGCGTTTAAGG